TTGAAACAGAAATTAAAGTATGTGAACATGAAGAGGTTGCATTTATTTTGCAGCCTTTAGAAAGACATATTTAACTAATACAATAACAACAACAAAATGGTTTCATGTTGTTAAGACCAAGAAAATATAAGATGAATAGGTGTTTAAAAACACTGCAACTTCCAACAAATCTTTATTACTTTAATTCATTTGACATTATATCAAAATTAAATGCATTTTACGTAGTATTTCAGTCATTTATAACATACTTGTATCTAGTTTAAAAATGTACTTATAGTAACCTATTAAATCATCTGTTAAATAAATAATTTTCCATCAATTATTATAGGATCTCCAGATGTATTTCAGCAGTTTTATTGTGAACAATGATTTGCTTTCTGTAATCCAAAAATTCAATAACAAAAAAATCTTTAAATTAATCCACTGTAAAACTGCACCTATTCCCAAACATTCCCCTTAATATAATCAGCCTAATGTATAAAATGTTTTAATCATGTTGTTTTACTTAATTATGCATTTGAATTGCATTCTGGAACCTTGATTTTTCCTCCAAAATCTTTTGATGTTGAACAGTTAGTAAAACTGACATTTTCTTTAGTTTGAAGTTCTGTCAGTACAAAAACCTGATAATAAGCTGCCAGTGCATTTTTAGTTATTTTACAGATTGAATTATCTGACTATATATTATTTCTATATATTTCTATAATATCTTGTCTTAAACTACTAAAATATCAATAAAAGTCACTTTGGTAAAACTTAAAAAAATGATGAAAAAAAGTGATCAGAGCAGAAATAAAACTCCCATGATGCAATTCACAAGCGTAAATACACAGAAAACACTTGTTAGCTATAACCTGTTAAGTTATTTAACTAACTTACATATATTTTTAGAGTGTAATAACTGGCCCATCAGTCTCCCCTTTAAAACATTAGCCTTTACAATGTGTAAAACGCTTAATGTTGAGAGAATCAGTTGAGGTGACAGAGCATAACATGTTTAATTTGAAGCCTTTGAAGCGAAAGAAACCTCAGTAACCTACAGGACAAAATGATTCAATTTGAAGTTGCCGTGAGCAGCGTCATCTAGTGGTGAAATTATGAAACTGACTCAAACCTTATTTTAAAACAGAAGAACGATACAAACTCTTAAAAAACTACCAATAGCCTGTGGTTTTATAAGTTCAAGACTTCACATCATTAATGAACTCCTCCTAAATCAAGCAGTAACTTCAGAACTCAATAATATTTCAATGTTGCACTTACTAAACATCTCCAGTCTTGCAGATTTCCCCACACTACATTAGATTGATCAGTCTCGCTCTTTTAAAGGGCTTTTGCTCTGGCCTGGCTGGGCTATTGTAAAAAAAAAAAAAAAAAAAAATTGAAATAAATAAATGGATTGTACTTATGCCTTTTCACAGTGTAATCTGATTTCTATGTGCATTTGTTCATGTGACCTGTAAGGAAATATGTGACCAGTCAACTGTTCATTTAAGTTTCGGTGTTTTCTTGTATTATGTATTTTATTTAATTTTGTTAAATCTATTATTGGCATTTTTCCCTTGTTTTTTTTACTTAAAAAAGATAAATAAAAATAAAGTATTAAAAATAAATAAATAAATATATAACTTCTATTATAATATACTTCTATTATAATATAACTATAATATAGAGTAACCTCACATTTAAAATATATTTAAAATTAAGTAAATAATTAAAACTTGCATCTTACCTGATGTAGAAGAAATCCACATCTTTTTCTGATTTGTGTAGACAAATATTGGAAGTGTCAAAGTTAGAAACCACCACTCTTTAAATTGTTTAATGAAAAACTGAAAATTCAATTTAATTCAATTCAGCTTTATTTGTATAGCGCTTTTACAATGTAGATTGTGTCAAAGCAGCTTCACATAAATGGTCATAGTAACTGGAACAGTGTAGTTCAGTTTTTAGTGTTTAAGTTCAGTTCAGTTCAGTTTAGCTCAGTTCAGTGTGAATATAGCTATAGTATATTCACAATATAGCTTCATTCAGCATTTGCCTGCACAATAAAGCAAAAACAGAATGAGAAGTGTTCATTGCGCAATATTTTGAAATGCACACACTTCGATTTCAGCAAAATAATGGACATAAAACAAGAGAAAGAAGAGACTATATCTATCACTGAAAGAAAGAATAAAATAGCTGAATGAATATCTCTCCCAAAAATCAAACTCCAAAAATGAGCATTTAAACATTCGATGCTTATGGATTTTAAAAGGTTAATTTCTTATGCTTTTTTTAAAGGTGCCACATACTACATTGGTTTAATAAGTTAAATTGTTCTCTGATGTCTAAATAGTCGGTTTATGCCTTCAGTTAGTTAAAAAAAATCTTTAGAAACAGTTTTATAAGCAATTTTATTACTACATAAAATTCCCATTGAATCAGAAGGTCCATGATTGACCATATATGGCTCGTGTCATGAATATTAATGAGCTCCACTCTTAACGTGCCGCTCTACAGACATGCACACACACACACAGCATGATGTAAGCTGAACACAGACAAACATAAACACAATCAGAGTAAAGTTAATCTATTTAGCTCACCAGATTTGTTGTGGATAAAGTCTAAATTATAATTAAACTTGACAAGAGAGTGATAGAGATGTATCATGTTGTATTTTAAAGGTAACGTTACAGTCAAAGAAAACACAGCCAGGATTTAGTATCAACCTCTGCATGAACAGATGACAGCTGAGCTGACTGATCTGACACGATTCAGCAGTCTACATGTGTTTGTTGAAATATTCATCAAATGTCACAATAAACATATTAACTTGACTTCTAGTTAATCATTTGGAAAGGTAGAACTGCATCCCATTCATCACACATATTGCAGAAGACCAATTGCTACGTGCATGAACCTAAGATTCTCACAGAAACCAGTCAAGTATGGTGAAAGAAAAATCATGGTTTGAGGTTACATTCGGTATGGGGGCGTGTGAGAGATCTGCAGAGTGGATGGCAACATCAACAGCCTGAGGTATCAAGACAATTGTACACAGGAGAGGGCCAATTCCTCAGCAAGATAGTGCTCCTTATACTTCAGCCACCACATTAAAGCTCCTGAAAGCAAAGAAGGTCAAGGTGCTCTAGGATTTGCCAGCCCAGTCACCAGACATGAACATTATTGAGCATGTCTGGAGTAAGACGAAGGAGGCGGCATTGAAGATGAATCCAGAGAATCTTGATGAACTCTGGGAGTCCTGCAAGAACGCTTTCCTTGCCATTCCACATGACTTTATTAGTCAGTTGTTTGAGTCATTGCAGTGATGTATGGATGCAGTCCTCCCAGCTCATGGGAGTCACACACAATTCATTCTTCCTCCACTGCAGCATGACTTTATATTCTATACTGCATATTATTTACAGTAACAAGACTTTTGTCTAAGCAAAGTCAGACCTTACTGTCCTAATTAAATCATTAAAAATCAAGGCATGATCATATTTTATTTAGGTGAAATAAGCGTAATCTAGAGGACTTTGCCTTTTATATGAGCCACTTCTGATATCAAATGATCACTTAGAATTATAATTAATTGCTGTTCTTAAAACGTGAATAGGCGACAAGACTTTTATCAGGTAGTGTAATATTTACCAAATGTCTAATCTATCAATATCTCCAAAACGCTGGGTTAACTGGTTAATTCATAATTTTTTTAATTTTCAAAAGTTCCCTTTAAAATACCAATATTACAAAAAAACAAACAAACAAACTTACAGATGCCATTCTCTATCCATTACTTTCAAAGAAACATAGATTTTCCAATACACAGTCAGAGATTCAGCCAAATACTTGAGACTGTGCTCAAAAATGGGTTAAGTTTGCATGGGTTAAGTCTCCAGCGCCAAGACTGCAGCTCTGCACAAGACATTTGGCCAGAGGAGAAATGGTCGTGCCCAACTGAGCCTTGTTTCTCTTGAGTTTTTTTTTATTCTTCACTTTCGCCAATTGGTGAAGTTTTCAGCTTTTGCCACTAGCTTGCATAGTTCAGGATAAAGGTCTGCATTTCCGCGGCGGTACCTGACCAGATTTCTGAGGTGCGGAAATAAATTTCTGAATAAAGCACGGGAGCGGTCGGTAACTGGTTTAATTTTGGACAGGAGTGGGCGGTCTAACAATATCGCTCCTGACTCTAGAGCGAGCAAGCATGCATATGTGTGTGAATGAGACAACGTGATGCTGCGTTTAGCTTAATTGTTGCTGTGTGTGCGAATGAGAGAGAGAGAGAGAGCTTTGTGCTGTCTGTGTGTGTCACTTGCGTGGTGCTTATGCATGTGTGTTTATACAGACATCTTGTTATAGGTGTCTAGACTCTGTATAGCTGGGTGGTTTTCGGTTTTGTTCTCCCCTGCTCGTTAGCAGGAACGGACACGGCGGGTAGAAAACGGAACGGGTCGGGCAGCAAATCCTAAATATAAGCTTGGAGCAGTCAGGTTCGGGCTAAAACCTGGCGGGAGCGGGATTCAAAATTTAGTCCCGCACAGATCTCTAGTTCAGGATATGTAGAGCTGCGCATCGATGGATTTGCTCTTCTATGTTTGGACTCTCAGTAGTGAATATTAAACGACACTGAACTGAGCTAAACTAAACTGAACTTAAACACTGAAAATTGAACTGACACTGTTTCAATTTACTATGATCTTTTATGTGAAGCTGCTTTGACACTGTAAAAAGCTGTCAACATTGTAAAAGCGCTATACAAGTAAAGGTGAATTGAATGTTTTTCTTATTCTTTTCCATACTATCAAAATGCATTTTCTAAAATATAACAGTAAGCTCTTCCAGATCTAAACCTATTTGTTTTTTCATCTACACTTTGTTTCATAAACATTTGCACAATGCTAAATTAACCTAGACTTGTCCCGGCATCTATCTTTTGTTGCTCTTCCAGTTGATCTGAAGTGCTTCTATTATCCCGACTGATAAAGGAATGTACACGCAAAGACAGCAAAGCCAATTCAACATATGTCATTTTATTTTCAAAGCTGCATACACCTTATTTAACACATTTAAGACACTTAAATATCGTTCAAAGTACAAACTGACCATTATAAAACACGTAAGAAAAAAACACAAAGACGTTGGAATGAAATCACAGGAGCACACACATAAAATTACTTTGCCCAGGAACAGATTGATGTATAAGAGCAAGTTGAACAGATTTACAGAGTTCCTTGTGAAATGGAGTGAACTCACGGAATGGACTGTAGATAGACGGGACTGGCCATCTACTCACTGTCTCCATCATCACTAATGATGCCGTGTAGGTTGGCCCAGGCTCCTCTCTTGCGGCCCCTGTTTGTGTGACTGTCTCCACTGTCCGAGTCAGAGTCCACAACACGTTTATAAGCGGAGGAGGGAGGGGAGGCATTCTGGGCCGGGGGCCACACTGCTGCTGCTGCTGCTCTCCTTTTGGGTCGTCCTGAAAATGACAAAATAAAAAAGGTGTAATTTCATAAAAGTTAATAGCCAATCAGTGTGCAAACAGGGTTCCCAGTTCAAGTTTTTACCCTAACAAAAAAGCTAAATCTCCATAACCTTGGCTCCCACACTAAAATGGGATAAAGAATCAAAGACTAAAATTTCAGAAGCTGACTGGTATGATATGTGTGAAATACACCAAACTACTAGTTCACAACATATTTCACATTATTACAACACCCAGGATTAAACGCAAACAGACCTCAAGACCACAAATGTGCTGGAGACAGTATGGGCAGGCAGAAGCAGATCATACCCATATCTTCTGGAGCTGTGGGAAAATTTAACCATTTTGGGATGATGTGCAGATTGTTATTATATTAGGTGTTTGGATACAGTTCCTGGGACTGCATTATTTTTAAAGGGCCATGAAACCCCCTCGTTTCAGCAGGGTGTTTTCACACCTCTACTTTGGAAAAAGTCAGAAAAGTGGGCGTTTCCAGCTCTGTTTAGGGGGGAGTGTCGGAGGAACTAAAGTGGGATGGTGTGGGAGTGTCTGTTTGGGCTCGCGCGAGTTTCAGAGTCAAAATACACACACATACACACAGGAGAAAGTGATGGTGTTTAACCTACATGGACATCTGTAGTCGAATTATTTGCCAAATTATTAAATGGTGGACTTTAACTGCAGTTTGGCTTTTTGATTCACGGAATTCATTCATGTCCCTCGCGACAAACAAGATATTTGATTCGAGGATCTGCTCTAAGCGTGTATTTTTCATGCAATGTTTGATACCGCACGGCGAATGAGAGAAAAAACCCTCAGCATTTCCTGGAAACTTAGATGCACACAGCAGGTAGTGTCAGAAAGCTGCGTGTGTTATTCCGGTCACAAAATGCGGTAAAAACCCTACACGAGGTTAAAGTTTGGTTGTGGTGCTAACATGTTTGCACTCGGTGCAATAGTTAACTTAGTTCGATACGAACAAACTGAATAAACAAAGAGCACTGGTCGCTCACTTACCAAATCTGTAGAGACAGGACAATCACCAGCAACTAGAGGCGCGTCTTTATTAAGAGGAGACTACAAGCGAATCCGGATCTCAGCGTTTGCAGATGAGAACAGCTCTCAGGTAAACAATAATCCTCCTTAGACATGTAAGTTATTGTTGTCTCAAGCTGCGCTCTCACAGAGAGAAAATAAAAACAAAACTTAACGGCAGCAAACTATAAAAGCACACGCTTGTTTTGCCAACACAACGTGGCGTCTCTGCAATGTAAACACGGTGACACTAATGAATATTAATGAAGTTGCACAATAGAGCGCGCTGATTGGTTTGAACCAAGCCTTACTCATGCATTAATGCAACACACTGTAAGACGTAATAAGACTCACTCTGGCACAGACGCCCAGTCTGCACGCTGGAATACAACGCTATTATGTCATAGCCGTGACGCAGCTTCAAAAATTCGTTTCAAACAGGAAGTACGAATTTGCTTGAAATAACGCAAAAACAACCAATGTACACTTTTTAGTGAAATATAGGTGTCCTAATAGTGTTTTTAGCAGTGTGGGACACATATACGACTGTCAACAGCTCAAAAAATGTGTTTTGGTGTTTCGTGACCCTTTAAGGAGATTGTCCCCAGAGGTGACCAATATTTGTATAAGATTCATCTTGTGGCATGCAAAAAGACTTTAACAAGGAACTAGCTTAAAGACTCAATGTTGAACGTTAGCAGTGGTTTGAAATAATTGAAGAATAATGAAAGAACTGACAGTTTTTATGAGGATGAAAATGGATATTTTCAGGAAGGGTTGGGAAAAATGGTTGATATATAGGGAATTTAAAGACATCCCTATTTCGGTGAATTGGAATTGGAAGAGATATCGCAATCTTACGCATTTTTTTAAGATTTATTTTCTTATTTTAAAATGACAAGCTTATATACAATAAAACAAACAATATAACTTAAATTTATTATATTTATATTATTATAAAAACATAACAATTAATTAATTACATAATATTTTTATAAGATAAATACATTTTCATGGACATAGCAATATAAAGACACAATTTAAAATGATTTTATACCTACTGTTATGTCTGTAGACGTATATGTTTTGTATTTTTTCCTTCTCTCTCTAGGAGGTCTCACACCAGAAGTGCTGCTTGGCGACACGACGCGCAGCACCACGCATTTAAGAATTCTAAACGTAGGCTTTTATCAGGGTACACAAACCAGCGCTTCTAGTCGGCGGCGCCCAGCTACGACTCGGGACACTGTTCATATTTCTGCCTCGCCACAGAGCGCCATCTGATTAGTTTTATTTTAAACAGCAAGCGAATGTGCGAGTCTAGTGTGCGATACTTTCAACTGTCATGTGCGCGAAATGTTGTGGCGCTGAGCAGCGCATCTGGTGTGTGACGCCCTTCTTCCTCTATGCTTGTCATTTTCATTATGTCTGCCTACTCCGACAGCTAATTGGTCAGGAGACCGATCATCATTGGGCGAAGTAGCGCAGCAATATAAAAAGGGACGCCAGGAAATGCACTTTTCTTTGATCTCGTTTTTGTTTATTTTTGCAGACACTGTATTGATATTTAATTCAACATTGCTTAACTTTCGTTTGTGCAAAATTCTTTTCCACTAGGGTTGGGCATCTAAGCTATAATGCCGATCCGATACGCATCTCTATACAAAGAATACGATCCGATATATTAGCGATACATTTGTGACATATTGCGATGCAACACGATACGATTCACACCCATATCACGATACGATGTGATTCAGCACTAACTAATTAGATCAAGTTTATGAGATGATGTGAAAGAGGATGCTGTGCCATTGAATGAGTTTGATTATTTATTAACCAAGCAAAACCAAGACTTTTTTTACAAACTGGCTTTTCTCTCAGAGCCAGAGTGTCAGTTTACAGTAGAGGGCCATTTTAGAACCTATAGCACATATTATTTAAGTATTTTCAAGATAAACAGAATGTATAAGTGCAATATATATTAAAATATATATATTTGCACTCTTTCAACATAAAGGTTTAGCATTGCACAACAAGAATTGTGATTTAACTTTTCAACTATGAAAACAAGTTTTACAAAGATATATTGTGCCACTGATTATTCAAAACTTAAGGTTGTGAACTAGCAGTGTTATGCTGCTTTGAAACATCACTGTCACTGTAAACAGGCTAATAAAAATATAACAAACCAGAAATCTTCTTGCTGTGAGGTGGTCAAACTACCCACTGTGCCACCGTAACACCCATTATTTTTATCATTATTATTATTAATAATATTATTATTATTATAATTAAATAAAAATTAACAGGAAGAGGTGTTTAAAACCTTCATTCTCCGTGACACTAGGCTGAATATCTTTGCAGATGAACAATGCAATAACATCCGTTATTGGCGTCGAGCGCACAAAACTGTTGCGCATGGAAAAAAAACTTGCAATGCTTCTCACCACTTTTGGAGCTGGTAGCTACAGTTGAAGCAGTGCGAAAGCCGGGGATGCTGGAACACTGGAAGATGCTTTCACAACAACACCGTGGCGCCGCTTCAAGTGAGATTTCAGATTAGTCGTACTGCCCGTGTATTTTACAGATGCGCGGCACATTTTGCAAATTGCATCTGTCCTGTCATGTCGTCCATTCTTAAATAAATAATGTTGCCATACTTTAGATTTAAAACTCAGTGGGGAATAAAATGTTTGTTTTGCTTCTTTTTTTTTTGTTACTTTGATGGCCCAGCTATTTCCAACACCATACCCAGCTCACTAAGTTCACTCTTTTCTCAGAGAGTTAGGGTGGATAAGAAAAATGTCATACAACTTCCATCTTGCAAACACGTAGATAAAGTTGTTGTTAGAGACACCAGGTAAGAAGTGAACGCCGTCATTTTGTCTGAGTCTCAGAAGGCCATCTATTGTAAATATTTTGTTTTGTATATATATATTTGGGCATTTTGTGTGGGTTTCACTTTTGTAAATTAAATAACTTTTGTTGGAATTTCCGTTTTCTGTCTTTTAGCTTCCACCATCACAAGGTAAAATTGCCATACCTTAAATGTTTTTCCTTTTACCCTAGACTAACATCAAAGAGGTTGTAACATTTCTATTGCATTCCTTCAGTGAACCTAAGACGTTTTAAGGCCTAAAAATATAAGTTTGTATTTAAGACATTTAAGACTATTTACAACCACACAGACACCCTGATTAAAATGGTTTAGCTTGAACATAATTTTGCATGACTTTAATATGATTGACAATGGATAACTTACTGCAGATTTGGTGGTGCTTAATGTTTGGGTGATTGTCTACTTTCAACACCTAGTCTTTAAGCTGGTTATTTTGAACCCAAAGCCCTTACGATTTGTTTTATCCTGACATGTTATCTTTAGTTAACAGGTACAGTCTGGAGACTGCATTTGACTAAAGTGATCGCCAGTTAATGAGTGTGTGAGGAACGAGCTGAAAAATAGCTAGAACATGTAAACAGCTTGATATAAAAATATATAGATTACATTTTAATAACTGGGAACTAAAATTCAAAGCGACAAACAAAAATCCCTGACATAAAATGTTATGATATTCCAAAAATGTCATGACCTGTGGGAACCCTGTGTATAATTCCCTTAAATTTGGAAATGTTTTTCAAATGTGATTACCCTGAGTGGTGATGATGTTGCTCATGTCCAGCTCAGCCAGCTCTTGCGCTTCTTCTCTCTTTAGTCGAGCTTTTTTGCACTTTTCTATCGAGGGCTGACCTGAGGGAGAGACATATTTCACCAGTAATATATGAATTTGCACAACAGTTCTGCCACATACAGTATTACAGGGCCCTATAAATGCAGAAATATTTTAGAAAAAAAATTAAGTTTTGATGTTTTAATAATTTGCATTTACATGTGTAAACAAACAAGCTATACATTTCGGTAATATTACAAAGTAATGTATTAGTAAAGTAAAACTATTGTAGTAAAGAACTTGGACTTTAAGTGTGTTTGAGGAAGGTTTTTAAAGGTAGTTCATTTCGTTTTTTTTTCAAATCAGGCACTTTGTGCAAAAACTCTTTCCTCATTTTCCAAATCGACCTCCTGAATCTCCATTAGATAACTTATTAAAGCTTGAACCACACTCAAAACATTGCATTTCTACCATTTATAACCTGAATCACAATATTAACCCAAGCTCTGCAAATCAAGCCAGAGGTGCTTGGGAAGAGAACTTAGGTTTTCAGTTCTCTGATGAACACTGGGAGCATATTCTTGAGCTCACACATACCTCTTCTATATGTGCAAGACATGGGCTAATACAATGTAAGATCCTACACAGAGTTTACTACACTAATGCTAGACTTGCTAAAATATACCCTTCTGTCAGCGATGCATGTAATAGGTGCAAACAATCACCAGCGGATCTCATCCATATGTTGTGGGAATGCCCCAAATTATTTGTTTATTGGACTAAAATATTTAAAACTTTAAAAGATGCATTCGGCATAGATCTGGATACAAATCCACTTTTGGCCATTTTTGGGTTTGCAGTAGATGCCAACCTTTCAGTAATGGTCCAAAAGGCTTTAGCTTTTACTACTTTAATAGCGAGACGTCTCATTCTTTTAAAGTGGAAACATGTCACTCCACCATCTTTTGATGCATGGATAAAAGAAGTGTTTACTTGTATTAAATTGGAAAAGATTAGACTATCACTTACTGGTTCTTTAAAGACCTTTGACAAGTTGTGGCGCCCCTTTTTAGATTATCTACTAGCAAACTCTCTTGATTCTGAAACTGAGCAATAACATAAGAATAAAAACATATTTATTATTTATTTTCATCTTATTTAGTTATTTATTTATTTAATTTTTAATTTTTAATTTTTTTATCATTATGGTTAATTATTAATTTTATTTATCATTATTATTATTTTATTTTTATGTTTTGCTTTGCTTTTTTCTTAATGAGAAGTCAGAGGCTGTTGAGGGAGGGAAATGTTCAACTGGGGTTGGGGTAGGGTAAACACTAACATGGATGGATAATTATAAAATGACTGTTATGGTTGATATTCCATGTAAAAACCTAATAAAAGAAATTTGAAATAAAGGTAGTTCACCCGAAAATGAAAACTGTCATGATTTACTCATTATTGACTTGTTCCAAACTAAAAGAAGATATTTTTATAAACTCTAAAATGAATTTTGCTGCTTGTTCGAATTACTTATTTAAAATGAGTTAAAACAACACTATTCTTAAATTGTTTTTGGGACAACTTTTTTGATTTATGTCAAATTCACTTACATTTTTAAAAACGATTAAGTTAACTTCGATTTGTGTTAGGGCAACATAAGGAATTGTGTGGAACCCCGCACATTTTAAAGTATAGTCGAGAAAAAACAAATACTAGGGTAGTGAATGGTTGAAGGTTTTGAACATTTTTCAAAATACCTTCTTTTTTGAGGGTGAACTATCCCTTTAAAATCACATGAAGAGATGAAATCTGAGACCTAGATGTTTTGTTTATGTAGGGTTTTCTCATAGTAAAATGGCAGATGATATGACCATTGCATGAACTTGAATATATGTGTAGTAGCTTTGGCAATATAACATTTAGAAACTAATCCATATCAGTTTTAATAATTGTTTAAAAAAAGCACTGTACCAGCATTTGGATTACTATTTGTTTTTATCACTAAAGCAGAAAGTGTTTATAGCCCAGGTTCATCCACTTACATGATTCAAAACAATGATAGACAGCAAATTTGCGTGTCTCTTAGCATATTGTTGTGAACATTCAGTACACTGCGTGTTACACATGCACACACTAACCTTCCACACCCAGCTCCTCCAGCTCTTTCTTCAGCACAGCCACCTTTGCCTTTACAGATCGACAGCCATCCAGCAGCTTTTTGTAGTTTCGTCTCACTCCACAGAGGGCGATGTAGCGCTTCAGTCTGGACACAGCCTTATTCTCCTCATCCTGATGATCAACAAATGCTTTCAGTAAACACATATTTTTCAAAAATTATTACAATCAGCCCAGAAACAAGGTTTAAAAGGGAATAGTTTTCTAATTCTTTATCAAAAGTTGTCAAATAGAATCACAACACAAACAAGGTATTTGTGAAGTATTTTTAAATGAGGCACAAAATATTAAGTGTCTTGTTATATTATGTACAGTAGTCAACATTCGAAGTGAATCAAAAATTGTCCTTGGACAAGAATGGGTGCTGTTCAATAGTTTTAGGACAACTTTGATGAGAGGTGATGATCCACTTTAAATGCTGACTACTGTAGTTTTTGCCCTCCACCATTGCAAAAAGTGTGCACAGAGTGCTGCTGGACCTTATAGTGTGCACAAAAAAAAACAAAAAATATTGTGAAATTTTAAAATGACAGCATTTACTACATACATACATACATGCATAACGTAGTGATATGCGTAGTAATACAATCTGAGCTCTAGGTTATCTTGCCTTTCCTCTGGATGTGTTCTCCCTCTCTTCGCTGCTCTTCTTTCTCACGCTTTTCTTCCCCTCTTTCTTGGTCTTCTCTTTCTCCTGCTCCTCCTCGTCCTCCAGTGAGGGAAGAGATGAGGAGTCAGAGTCCTCTGCTTCCTCCTGACCGTCCCGTAACTTCTCTGTCAAGAATAGCAGAAAAGACTAGATTCTAATCATTTACATCCAAAGATGCAAATTAGACTTGTGTGCAAGAAGAAGACAGGTAGAACACAATGAATATAGTGTTTACTGAAGGTGTAAGAGACATTTTGAGAGTGCAGATGCTCAACAGTTCTGGAGGTAATAATACTTTACCACTTTGATGACTTTGGCTGAGGGATTTTAAAATAAAAATAAAAAAAAACACATTTTACATTGTGGTCGGTCCACATTTTTGTTATCAAATGATCCATTAAAATAAAATCACATGACTTTTTTTATATGCATGATGAAATGTATTCATTCATGTGTTGCTATCAAAGTTTTGCTCCTTTCTTCATGAGCATTTTCAAAACGTATATGCATCTTCATGTTTATCAGGGTTCCCACTCTTTCATAAACAACAGAATCAAGGACTTTCTAAAGCACCATTAACTTTTAAGTCAAGCACCTTTGTAATTCACACTTAACATTTTAATTACACTTTAAATTTACACTGGAAAAAGTCAGATTAATGATGATTAAATGTGTCATTTCTGCTGTCTTTGAGTCGTTTTTACACCACATTGATTGCTTTGGTTCGAACCAGTTGAAAAGAACCAAAATGCAGTCATCAGACAAAATCCACATCACTCATTGGCCAGATGTTGAGCATACTTCCTAAACTGCTTTTCGATTGGTCAGAACTCATGTGCAGGAAAATGCCAATAGAACTTCCACAAGTAAACAAATCGGCAGACACAAAATGTTGATTTTGACTATGGAGGTACGACTGCGCTGGCTGATTGCATCTCTGCCTACAGTATACTATATAGTCTGTATACATCACTTTAGACAAACTACACATTTCGAGAACTCTAGTGCACTTCAACCGAACTAAATACGGCAGGTGTGAAAGCACCCTAAAATGTAGTTTTTACATGGTCATCTTCAAAGAACTTCAATAAAACTTGCTAAATGCAATACTATTTAATCGCTTTCCTTTGGCTTAGTCCCTTATTTATTACAGGTCACCACAGCGGAATGAACTACTAATATTTCTGAAGGAAAAAAAAAACATAATTTTTCATTATTGTTTTGTTTTGTTTAACTTTTTAAATAACACCATAAAGTAATTACATTTAATTTAGGCAAAAATTTAATTTAAGCACTTTCAAGGACCTATATTTGTTTTTAAGTACTTTCTAGGCCTTGAATTCACATGTCTGAAATTCAAGTTCTATCAAAGACTTTCAAGAGGCCTGGGAACCCTGGTTTATATTAAGCGTTTTTATGTAAAATTCCAAAATGTGCATAAAAACAGATGATAGAAACATATATTCATTAATTTTCTTTCGGCTTAGTCCCTTATTTATCAGGGGTCACCACAGTGGAATGAAACGCCAATTATTCGAGTATATGTTTTCCACGGCGGATGCCCTTCCAGCCGCAACCCAGTACTTGGACATGGATGGAAACATAGCTATTGTAAAAAAGAGAGGTTTAAACAAGTACCAGCTTTGATCTTAAAAGGATTCTTACCATTATTCTTCGTCTCTTTAGAGGGTAAACCAGCAGCATCTTCACTCTTATCTCTCTCCTCGTCACTGTCTCCAGCACTTTCATCTTCAGAGATGCTGCCATTTTTTATTTTAGCGCTCTGGTTTTTCTCCTCTTCACTCTCCGAGCTGCTCCCAAATACCTCTCTCTCCACTTCCTTCACGACATCCCTCTCAACTGGCTTCTTTTTTCTTATATCTTTTCTCTTGCTCGGTGTCTTTGTTTTGCTCTTCGGTTTTTCGTCCTCAGAATCGCTCGCAGAGTCACTTTTAGCCGCTTCCTCGCTGTCTGAATCCTCTTTCTCTTTCGGTTTTTGTCTTTCCTCCTCCTCAGAATCCTCCAACTCCTCATCTTCATCACTTTCAATCGTCTTCTTCTTTAGTTTCTTTTTCTTCCTGTTGTCTTCAACCTGTGGGCTTTTCTTCCCTCCTTTCTTTTTCTGTGGTTTTCCCTTCATTTTCTCTTTCTCCTCCTCCTCACTGTCTTCATCTGTGTCTTTATCACTTCCCGCTTCTTCTTTATGTCCTACCTCATTCATAGCCTTCTCTATGCCTGAGTCGGGGGAATCTGAAACAGGGATTAGAAAGTTACTCATACAAACTTCAACAATAAAGCAACTCTTCAATGTTACATAGATACCTGGTGGAGGAGACTCCTCCAGCCGTGATCGCTTTGTCCTATCCATCACTTTCCTCTCTTCCTCCTCATCGTCTTCATCATCCACTCTTTTTCTTTTGCTCTGGGTCTTTGATGGATTCACCATCTTAATAAGAGGCTCATCGTCACTGCTAGCCTGGAAATTGAAAGGGGTTTAAGGTTTACTTGAGCCCTCAAATAAACATGAACAACGTGGTTTATCATTAACTTACGTCATATTAATAAACAAGCTTTTTTGCATGTTTGGAGAGTTCTGAACACACTTTCACACCAACAATGCTAACGATAACAAAGCTTATTAAAAGTCCTCCTACATTTTCCAGCTAAGAAACGGTAAAAACTTTGGCATTTGATCAGAAACCTGCTTTTAGGTTTGCTAATAATATGTATATCAGGGTTTCTGCAGGTTTCACCAAGTCAAATTTAAGACTTTAAGACCTTTAAGAACTCTAAAGATGCTTTTTTTTTTTAATGGCACAGGAGAAAAAAATATATACTTGGCCCCATCAAAAAACTTATTCTAATCAGATATTTCTCAGCCACATATTTTAAATAGTGTCAAATCAAGCAAACCCTAGTTTTATACATCCATTTCTTTCAACATAACCTAAAAAATCTTTACTAAAACTAAATGCATGCACAACAGACTGCTATAATTTAGTTGTGAATATAGTTTTGCTAAAAGTATGTATTGTTGGTGATTGGATGCATGTTGGATCGATTGGTTAATTTTACATATAGAAATTAAAAATTAAGACCCATTTAAAGTGGTTTAAGACCTACAAAACAAGATTTCAGTTATGTTAAGACTTTTTAAGGTCTGTTTTAAAAAACATAACTGAGAGAGGACCCAGTCCAGGAGACTCTAACAAGCAGAACATCTTTATTTAGACGTGTTGGTTAATCTGCAGTCAAACAGAACCTTCAAGAAGTCCACAAGTCTGCAAGAGCCTACAGGAGTCAATTACAAGTCTTTCACAAGTCTGAAATCAAGTCTAAAAATGAGTCTATAATGTGTTTTAGGAGGGGGAGTGGCTAGGTGGAGAATGACATGATTAAACAAAGCATGCGAATGAAGTTGGTAGGTGAAAATTCTATCAACAAAAGGGTTTCTTTGGCCTGAAAGTATCACCCAAAGACAATGGAAGAGTCGTTGAGACCCTGCCCGTAGCATTTGCATAACTTTGGGTCAGCCAGTGCTTAGAAAGCAAGAGGTTTTAATATTTTTTTACACCCTAGCTAAAGTTTTGAATGAAATTAGATCATTAAAAACCAAATAAAATAACACTTTTAATTTGTAACTAGATAGATTAAATAAATGTATATTTCCACAGGCCTAAATTATTTTCAGTAATTTAATTCATTATAATTTAAATAAGGAATTTAAATTTAAATAAGGAATTGTGCCAAAACATCTGTGTTTTGCATCACTGAAGAATGTAAAATAAAAGCTTTACAAAGCTATTATTTAATGAGTGTAAATCATGACCTTCTGAATAATATTAATGACAAAGATTAACGCACCAAAACAAAAAGTTTAATAACCATGAGCAAACAATGCTACCTTCATTACTTTTTGTAACTGAAGTCATTTTAAGACCCTGAGGATACCCTGGTATATGAATTTATGCTAATTGAAAGACAGAACAATTAATCATGATACAGCGGAAATGACTTGTATGAAAACAGCTGATAAAAATGCTGTGCAATGTCACCAATAATTAGTCAAAATAAACTTCAATTTTAACTGGTAATGAGCACATTTCTTCCAAAAACTGTACTGCTCAAAAGACCTCAACTGAAAAAAAAAGTAAAAGACTAACTCTACACACTTAAATAAAAACTAAACTTAGTTAAATATGAGGTTCTAGCTTATTTAAAAGCCTACAGCTTCCATAACGTTTTAGAAAGCTTACAAAAAGTTATGTAATGTAGTTGTAGTCATCATTGCACTGGCTTTAGTAAAAATAACGGATAACAAAAGGAGCCTTACTGTACAGAGTAAACAAACAAACATAGAAATGGACACAGAATTTTCAATGTCTGCGTTCAAATGAATGTGTATAATTGTCAACGCAAGTTCAAAATAAATGGTCTATTAAGTATTCAAGTACTTGCTGCAGTGATGAACAACCACTGGAAATACAAACTAAATATATATATATATAAAGATAATTATTTATTTACAGTATTTTTACACGATCATACTTACAATATTATGCTCATTATCACAATATCATGAATATCAGCATCTACTACTAGGCCTGTCACAATAATCAATATATTGACTTATCACGCAATACATGGACATGACCTTCATTTTTGACCACTTAATATATACAATTTCTTGCAAAACCACAAACGTAATCTATATGTTACAATGCCTGTGTGGTTTGTTATGTTGGCAAGACGAGTAGGCCTTTAAAAATTCTGAACATGGATGGGCTATTCGACTCCATGATCCAAGAAGATCCTAGATCCTAGTTCTATCTTAATAAATTGGCGTTACAACATGAAGCCTTTTGGATGTTTACTCTTTGTTTAATACTTTCGGTTTGAATATTTAAGTTGTGTAAATTACTAATGTGTATTTTTCTATTTTTTGTTATGATAATGAATGAGATCCGGAAGTGTATAAAGAGCACAACATGCTGTGATGAATACTGTCTGATGTGCTCAAATTGTTACATGGCTTGTGTTAGCCTTTTTAATTTAATAAATTTGTATTTTTTGGAGCTTTGGTGTTGCTGCCGTTTTGATTATATTTTTGCACATCATGTTTACATAAAAATTAATGTCTTAAAAATTTGAGATTACACAGTTTCTGTCATGTCATCTAATTCCTGTTGGAGGCGTCAGCGAGTTTAGGAACACTTTTTTAGAAAAGAAAAGGTGAATTTTCACATTTTTCTAAAAAACTACTACCAGTTTTAAAGAAATGTTATAATTCACGAATGGATCCTTTTCACAAGACTGTTATGAGGCATTTAATGGTCATCAGCATCCTAAATGCTTAAAAGTTTTTAATATTTAGATTTTTTTTTAATGTATATACATTTATATGTATTTGTGTATGTATTATTTCATAAAAATTAACAAATGAATAACAATTTCTATGACAATATAAATCACACAAAAGAAATTATTTATCGTGACAGGACTATATACTACAGGGTGGCATCCACAGTAGTCAGGTAATACTCTGGTAACATGCTTCAGGACCTGGTGGCTATTAGAGAACTTAAGAGTTTTTCTATAAGGAGAACATGAATGATTTTTAATAGACAGATCCTCTAATTAACCCTTCTGAATTGTTCATTTAACTACTCTTACGTTATGTTCATGGCTGTTTTTGCCCCATTGACTTTCATTATAACAACAATTTATGATTGCAAATTGTCTGATTGACTCCATTTAATCATGCATTCTTGATTGTTGGTGGTTTTCTCTGTTGGGAGGAGGTCAAATTTGTCATATTTACTATTAATCATCAGTTGGCAACATTAACTCTTTAGACAGGCCTGAGTAAAAAAAAAGTTTCTGGCTATTATATGGAGTTCTATACATTATAACAGCAGATTATAGCGTGCATGCATAAATACACTCACTGTGTTTACCATGTTCTGAAAGCTGAGCTGCTTATTTTGATTTTCTCAGGCATAGCAAGTGTGCAAATGTCTCTCTTATACACTCATGCACACACCCCATATAAAAGCCAGAAACAAAGCTTTTTATTTGCACTGCAACTGACGACCAACTTTAAAAATTGCACCCCTTACCCCAACAGGGAAAACCATCAACAATCAAGAATGCATGATTATATGGCGTCATAGCATTGCAATCCAAAAATGTAGACACAATGAAAGTCATTCGGGCAAAAACAGCCACAAGCATAACGAAAGAGTAGTAAACCAAGCATGACTTTTCAGTCACTTGTTTACCTGCATCTTCAAAAGCTCCTCCTCAACAATAACCTTCATCAGCTGTCTGTCCTGTGCACTGAGCGACTCTCTTCCCACTTTCTCCAGGTATCTCCTCCTCAGAATGCCTAAAGTCAGTGTGCTGGAAGAGTAATGGTAAATCAGTTGTGCTAATGTTATTCTGATAGACCATGATAGAAATCAATGGTGATAATTTGACACACCGAAGCACTGCAGAATGCAAAAACACTCTTTCTTCTTTATAGCGGCGTATGATGGACGTGACTGATATGATTGCATTGAGTAGGGCTGGGTAGTATATTGAGTCTGTAAAATGTATCAATATATTTTACAACATAACTACATATAAGGTATGACTAGATCTTTTTCAATGATATCGATTTATAAAGCAATGCATGGACATAACCACAATTATTTTTGATGACTATCAGCCATCGTGTTTCTGTTTACATATACACTACCTGACAAAAGTTTTGTCGTCGACAACAGTTGTAAGAGCAACAAATAATAACTTGACTTCTATTTGATCAATTGGAAAAGTGGCAGAAGGTGGATTTTTCAGATGAATCATCTGTTGAACTGCATCCCAATCATCACAAACACTGCAGAAGACCCAGTGGAACCCGCATGGACCCAAGATTCTCCTAGAAATCAATCAAGTTTGGTGAAGGAAAAATCATGGTTTGGGGTTACATTCAGTATGGGGGCGAGCGAGAGATCTGCAGAGTGGATGGCAACATCAACAGCCTGAGATAAAGTCATTTGTGCTGCCCAATACATTACAAACCACAGGAGAGGGCAAATTCTCATCCTTCAGCCTCCACAAAGTTCCTGAAAGAAAAGGTGCTTCAGGATTGGCCAGCCCGGACACCCGACATGAACGTCATTGAGCAATGCTGGGGTAAGATGAAGGAGGAGGCATTAATGATGAATCCAAAGAATCTTGATAAACTCTGGAGTCCTGCAAGAATGTTTCCCTTGCCATTCCAGATGACTTTATTAATCAGTTATTTAAGTCATTGCAGAGATGTATGAATGCAGTCCTCCAAGCTCATGGGTGTCATACACAATATTTTGGTAAAATAAGCGTATTCTAGAGGCCTTTGCCATTCATTTAAGCCACTTTTGACAGCAAATGATCAACTAAGTCAAGTTATTAATTGTTGTTCCTAAAACTTGGATAGGCGACAAGACTTTTGTCAGGTAGTGCAAGTAAAAGTTATGAACATTTTAGCTGATCTGTCACCTCATCTAATATCTGAGCCCAGGAAGCTGCTTTAGAAACAATGCATCGATCGAGGTAAAGTTAGTTTTATATTCGTGCATTCAGAATTTCTTATTAATATCATTTCAGAAAAGTATTCTTTGCCCAGTCTAAACAGTAAAATTATATTAGCCGCCAATTATCAAACTAAAACAATGTTCACAGTCAAACAAACAGTGCTAATGTTGTTTTCAAGTCATACTTGCATGTGATTTCAGACCGAATAATTAAAGTACCGTGGTAAACAACATAAGAGCATGTCACAAATTGTCATAAAACGAATGTGCGAATATAAAACCAAGTCTACCTCAATAAACAACACATACATAGCATGCATGATTTAGATTGACTATACATGACAATTTAACAGAATGTATTTTAAGGGTAAAATGTATATTTTTTCAATGCCAAAAACATTAGAATATTAATAAAAGATCAAATCCCATGAAGATCCCTACGTAAACATATCAAAACTCTAATCATTAGTAATATGCATTGCTAAATACTTCATATGGGCAACTTTAAAGGTGATTACAATATTTTGATTTTGAACCCTCAGATTTCAGATTTTCAAATAGTATCAAGGTCAAACATCATCTTATCCAATAATAACAATATTTTAACAAAAGTAAAATGTATACATTAGTTAAAAGCTTATGTATTCAGCTTTCAGGTGATTTACAAATCTCAATTTAAATAAAATAGACACTTATTACTTTAATTTTGTGGTATAAAAAAATCTATAATAAAAAACAAACATGGAAAATATCTAGAAATCACAATTTTGCCAAACAATAAAGAGATGTTTTCCTATTTTTGTCATATCGACCAGACGAGCACAAATAGATGTCTGTAACTCTTACTATAATATATATACGTAAAATATACTATAGTATTTTCTTATTACGATGCATGAGCTGCGTCACACAACATAGTAGTGTCCCTTGAGTAACGTAATATACACATTCAAAGCACGACACCTTCAAATGAAACCGCTTCCTATGTGATGTGATCGTATTCATACATAGATTCAACAGTATTTTATAATGTATCTTCCTTACTGGTTAATTTTCCATTTTGTTAACATTTACTCACGAGCCGACGTGAGACCTGAGGAGCACGACGTGCCAACATTACGTTTTGTTTTCATATGTACTCGTTATAAGCTCGTATTTGACAGCACTTTCGACATTTCTTTGAGCACGCAGTTTACCTGAGGTCCGAGCACTTCTGCAGTTGAGCCACAACAAACTTTCTTATCGCGTCCTTTTCTTTGGCCATGTTTTTTCATGCATTTGTGCCACTTTTACAACACTGCGTACTCCCTGCGTGCTAAGCGCGCGACCCAACCTTGGCGCGCTTTGCTGTGCACGGCCACGCTGCTTTACGTCATTACGCACACTTTCATTCTGACGCGTGTTCATGTCACAATTTATGGAAAAATAAGAAACGATGTATTATAAAAGCTGTTGTTTTGAATAATTATGAAAGTGGCGGTCTTAATTTAATTAGTTTCGCTAATCTTAATCATACATTGACAATCAATTAATCAGATTAATCAGCTAATTATCCTAATTTCATAAACAGTGTCTGTTATCGTGGTCTGTACTTTACAAGCACAACTTTTCCCCACATAATTATATAATTTGGCACAACTGAGATGTGTCGCACAAAGATAAGTCAATTTACTTTGATAATTGGGCAAATAATATAATTTATGTTAGACAATTAATGGTAACACTTTTTTTTCGATGGTCCATTTGAGTATTAGTAGACTGTCTGCTTAATATCTGCTACTACTGCTATTTTAACAGTCATTTAACTGAGTATAAGAGGCTTTGCAAGTACATGTCAACTTACAATAACCTTAAACAGTCTACTTATAATCTAATGAGAATTAGTTGGCATGTACAGTTGAAACCAGAAGTTTACATACACTCTAAAAAAGGAACATAACCATTTTTTAAAAATGTCTGATGGTAAATCATACTAAACGTTTACTACTTTAGGTCCGTTAGGTTTACCTAAATGATTCACATTTGCTAAATGCCAGAATAATGAGAGAATATTTTTTGAGAATTTTTAAATTTCTAGACAGTCGAAAGTTTACACACATGTCCTTGGTATATTTTTTTAGCTTTGCTTCTAAACTGTATAACTTTGGTCAAATGTTTTGTGTATCCTTCCACAAGCTTCTTACAATAGTTTGCAGGAATTTTGGCCCATTCCTCCAGACAGAATTGGTGTAACCGAGTCAGAGTTGTTGGCTGTCTTGCTCACACAAGCTTTTTCAACTCTGCCCACAAATTTTCTATAGGATTGAGATCAGGGCTTTGTCATGGCCACTCTAAAACATTCACTCTGTTGTCCTTAAAGCACATTTTAACTAATTTAGCTACATGCTTAGGGTCATGGTTTGTTTGGAAGACCCATTTGTGGTCATGTTTTAGTTTCCTGGCTGATGTCTTGAGATGTTGCTTCAGTATTTCTACATAATGTTCTTTCTTCATGATGCCATCTATGCTGTGAAGTGGACCAGTCCCTCCTGCACCAAAACAGCCCCACATGATGCTGAAGCCTCCATACTTCACTGTTGTGATGGTGTTCCTAGGCTTGTAAGCTTTCCCCTTTGTCCTCCAAATGTAACACTGGTCATTATGGCCAAACAATTCAATCTTAGTTCCATCAGACCACAGGACATGTCTCCAAATTGTCTTTTTCCTGGTGAAATTTAGCAAATTGTAATCTGGCTTTTTTGTTGATTCTGGCTTGTTGATTTTCCCATGTTGTCACAAAAGGAAGTCGTGTGTTTGAGGTTTTCCTTAAATACTATTTTACAGTTGTGCCTTCAAATAACTTAAATGTTGTCAATTAGCCGATCAGAAACTTCCAAAACCCTGACACCATTATCAGAGCTTTTTCAGAGGCACAATGTTCTTATCGTATGTAAACTTGACTTTTAAGAAAAGTTACAACAATTTCTCAAAAATCTCTCTCTCATTATTCTGCTATTAAGCATGACAGAAACACATTTGATAATCCTAACTTACCTAAAAGAAAAAAAGTTTAGTCACATTAACATCTGACTTTTTTTTAAATGGTCATGTGCTTCTGACTTATGTAATTCTGACTTCAACTGTATTTGGCGGTATAATCCCTGATGCCATGTTGAAATATGAAAATGGTATTTTAGGATTTACCCATCAGAATGATCATCCAGATGTTTTCTTACTTATTTAATATTTTTAGCTATTTTATACACAAATGTAAATCTTGTTAGTGTAAACATTTCCAAAAGACTTTTCTTGAAAATCTAAATCTCTATATGTCTTTGATTTCTGAATCTACTAATAATAAAGCTGTAAAAAGCTGTGAATCTGTTTAACAGATACATTTCTGCTTGCTCCCTGGCATGTAACGTGATATAATGTAAATGTTTAAATTTTTTAATCATAAAAAAAAACGTGCTCATGTAACATAACATCATACAAATAAATGTTCACTTATTTAGATATTATACCCGTTTCATTAAATAATTTAAATAGTAAATATCAACTTATTAACAAATAATTTCTTAAATCCCACCACACTAGAGATGACTGTCCACGCTGCAATGCACTTTACTGTGATATTTCAAATTTTAAAATTTCTCATCTTCAGGTCCAAAATACTGCTGCAAGATTTATTTGTAATAGCAGAAAATATGACCACATTACCCCCATTGTGAGGGGCCTCCATCGGCTGTCCCGTCCAATTCAGAATTGATTTTAAAGTGCTTTTACGGATGTATAAATCCCTTCCTAATCTAGCACCCAACCTATCTCTCAGAGCTGTTGCATTTTTACACTCCAGTGAGATCTCTTAGATTAAGTGAATCTTCTTTTAGTTCCCCAGTCTAAACTGAAACGTAGAGGGGACAGAGCTTTTTCCTGTGCCAGGTCCTCGGTTATGGAACACCTTGCCCCTTGAGATTAGAATAGCTCCATCACTATCTATTAAAATCCTCCTGAAAACATCCCTTTTTTGCTTGGCTTTTAAATATTATTTTAAAAGTCCATATACTGCTTTATTTTTTCAGTTGTTTCTCTTGTCTTATTTCTACGTCTTTATATTCTGTCTTTTATTTAACTTTGTCTTATGTACAGTACTTTGGTTTTTAAATGTGCTCTAATAAATAAATGAACTTGAACTATTAAATACATTTTATATAGATCAGTGGTTCTCAAACTTTTTTCATCAAGTACCACCTTAGAAAAAATTTGTCTCTCCAAGTACCACCAAAACGAGTAGTATTGAAATACAGTAGCATAGTAGGCCCAGTAAAGCAGCTACAACTGCACAGTTAGAAAGATCATGGCAGATTACCTCAGAAATATAGGCTATATGTCATATATGGCATATTATATACATCATTTTTGGTAAACTTGGAAATGTGTGAAGCATGTACAAGACATATTTCATTTCTCCGTGCACCACTAGAAGGAAGCCTGCGTACCACTAGTGGTACACGTACCACAGTTTGAGAACCACTGATATAGATGTATGTACATTTTCTGTCAAAAGTATTTCCAGTTTCTGTTTTTTTACACTGCCTTCATTTTTTAATATTAATTTTATATTTATTTTCTTTAGTAATCATCGTTATAAAGATTATTAGTTCTTAATGTACTTATTTCTGTTTGATTATAAGCCTTAAAATCAACAAAAGTTCCCTCATAAATATTTACTTCAATTCTTTGCTCGCTGCATATTTACATCGTTGGCCATTTATTTCTTCTCTCGTGTGGTTATTAATGCATAATTTTGGTTCTATTACAGTTTAAGCTCTATTATAATTAAACCATATTATCTATGTTACTGTATTTAATAAGGATATCCCGGTTGAGTGAATTTCTTCCAAAGACTACGTTCAAACACAAGGATTCTACAAAAAAAAACTTTTATTGAAAATGTTAATGGAATATTATTTCCATTTGATTAAAGTTTCAAGACAATATCCGGACGGCATTCCACATATATTAGTTTAATTGGCAGAATTAGGTTTTTTTATTTGGTCTAGGACAGTGAGTGCACACATTTATGGCTTACATTAGTCATTGAAACATTTTTGTGAAAGTGTTTGTGAGTTTGTGGTGATAATAACTCTATGCCAGGAGCCATTTTGTCAACAAATGATGAAGGAATAAAATAACATAATTTCAGTGAAGATGTGGCAAAACAAATTAGCATAATGTTAGCATTATCACCATTTTGAACAAAACAATGTCAGATTTAGAAATATGGCCTAAATTTTACACACCAACCGAGAGGCACAGTTGTTTGAAATTATTTAAGCTTTTTTTGTGTGTTATGAAAACTAGGTATAAAACTGGACCCCTTTCCTCAATATTAAAGTAAGTAACAACAAGCTGCGCCCATTTGGTCAGTTTTGCAGTAGATCTGACAGTCCTGTACAACACTTCCTCTGCGTACCTCTCAAGTAAGCATTAAATCACAGTTAAAATGTTCACACGCCCCATACAAACACAACTTATTTCACATTAAATCTTGAAAAAGTGAAAATCCTGGACAATAAATTAACTCAATAATAAATTATTTGAACAAAAACATCATGTAAATTTATCTCACAGACAGACAAAAAAAAAAAAAAAAAAGACTGTACCACACTGTGGCAACTTGAGCATTATTTCTAAACTACCCCATAATTACTCCCCTCCCGTTTCAGTGCAGTATTAGACAAGCTGTCTTTCTTCCCTCAACCAGCTTTTCCATATTATTTTCACATGCATATCATTTCCCAGGAGTCAGTACCATTTGGGATTCAGTCTTTGTAGACAGTCTGCTGTCCGTGACCCCTTTCGTCATGCATAATATGCCTCCGCACATGGATCCGCCTCACACGCCTGTCTCCGCCCCCTGCACCCGCCCCTTCCTCCTCTGATTGGCCTGCACCCGATGAAGAAACGCCCCCAGACTCCAGCAGGGCCATTCCTCCCGAGCCACGCCCATTTTCATAAATCAAAATGTTGAGCGTCTCCTCGAATATACGAGCTTCTGGAAACTCAACCTATCAGATCATAAGAATAAATACAAATAAAGTGAGAAAGCAGATGTATGAACAGGGTGCAAGTAATATATTGACAATAGGGGGGGGGGTCAACTTCTTCAGTAATATTAGTTTGTGTAGGCTAATACATGTTTTAGTTAATCAAATGTATGTATTTATTTAAATTACCTCTAATACATTAATAAAACAAATTTAAGCCTATTTAAGTTGAACCGCCAACTATTCCAGCATATGTTTTATGCAGCGGATGCCC